CGTGAGCTGCCCTGTCAGGCAGCATACAAGTTTAATAATACATAGATAAATAAATAAAACTGGGGTTGTCATGACTAAAGATAAATCCTTAAAGGTCATAACGTATATATTAAAATAACATTCCTTTTCAATCCACTATGGCTCCTTGTGACTTCATGGGCACGTCAGTGTCATCATTTTCTTGGTACCAAGATCAAAGTGGTTGGCAATCTCCTCTTCTAGGATTTTTTTCCCCAACATCAGTCTATTTGGCAACCTTGGGATTTCCTTGTGGTCTCCCACCCAAGTGCTAATTAGGTCCAGCCCTGTTTAAACTTTGAGCCCTGAAAAACTTAGCCAGGTGCTGTGACCTGTTGAGGCAAACTGTATATTAAAATACATCTGCCAAAGTATTTCCCAAACTGGCTTCCTCCTGATGGAACTTCAGTTCCCAGAATTCCTTGTTGCCCATGCTGGCTGGGAAGTCTGGGAGATGTAGTTCCAGCACATCTGGAGGGGGCAGGGTTGGGGTAGGCTGAGAAGTACAGATGTTTTTAAAAACTGACCTGATCACGGCAAGAGTCTGAGATATCCCATGCTCTTGAGAACTTCTGATTAATTTAGCTTGGAAAAATGGTGGGTGACCATCTAGGGTTGCTTCCCCTTTCACGGAATAACATTAAACTTTTCAGCCAAGCTCATCTTGTGCTTTGCTTTCTAATATCCAAGCCATGCTTTAAACAAACGTTTACCGTCTTCGTGCACAATTTCTCGCTTCCAGAAAATGCTTTATGGAGCCAACGTGATTATATTTGAAGGTATTATGGCATTTGCCGATAAGGAGCTCCTGAAGGTAAGTCTGGGGTTCCAGCCTCTTTTCCTGGGTGGGGGCGCACTGGTGGCCCCAGAGCCCCCTCCAGACACAAGTCTCCTTTTCACACACCCTGGATGCCCCGAGTCGGGAGCTGAAAGCTGGTGGCAGATATTCCCTGCCACTTTGGGGTCAGCATGGCTGAAAACTAGAGGACGGGCCCCCCAATTGGGACATCTTGTTTGAGTGGCTTTTGGCCCTACTTAGGGGGTTTTCTGTTTTTCTTTGGGGTTTGTAGGTTATATTTTATCCTTTACCTGCCCAGAGGTTGCTAAGATTGGGGCAGAAGAGAAGGCTTGGAAATTAATAAATATTGGAAATAAACTTTAAAAAATGAGGCCCCTTCCCTTCCCTTCTCTTTCTTTTTCTCTCTTTCTCTTTCTCCTCCCCTCCCTTTCCCCTTCCCTTCCCCTTCCCCAACCCTAATCCTTCCTCTTCCCTTCTTCCCCCTTGCAAGGTTGTATTGATCAATTTTTTATTAGATTTATATCCCACCTTTCTTTCAGCAACTCTAGACAGCTCACCTAGCACTCCCTCTTCCTGTTTTCCCCCATAACAACAACCCTGTGAGGTTGGACCATCTGAGAGGGAAGGAGGGAGCTTCTGTGGCTGAGGGGAGGAGAGCAGAGCCTGGGTCTCCCCACTTCTAGTCTAGCGCTTTCCAACCTTCCCCACAACCCCCTTGGCATCTCCCTAGAGCAGTGTTTTTCAACCTTGGCGACTTTAAGATGCATGGACTTCAACTCCCAGAATTCCCCAGGGAATTCTGGGAGTTGAAGTCCACGCATCTTAAAGTCGCTAAGGTTGAAAAACACTGCTCTAGAGGGATCTATTTTAGACCCATTGCCACTTGGATCTTTCCCCTTGGTTTTCCCCTCCAGCTTCTGGACATGAAAATATTTGTGGACACTGACTCGGACATCCGTCTGGTTCGGCGTTTGCGCAGGGACATCAGCGAACGGGGCCGAGACATCGAGGGAGTCATCAAGCAGTACAACAAGTTTGTCAAGCCGGCCTTTGACCAGTATATCCAGCCCACCATGAGACTGGCAGACATTGTTGTCCCACGAGGTAGGCCTCCTCTAACTGTTTGCCGGTGGCCCGGCTGGATTTCCTGCCTGGGGAGCCATTTGCAAGATCTCTCGCTCAGACTGCCCTTTTTCTCTTGCTGAAATAGTATTGGGGTCCAGTTCCAACCAGCTAGCCAAAATACTTCAAAGGATTTGGTCCGGGGCATTAAGGTAGAGTGCCACTGGATCTGGAGGTTCTGTTGTCCCTGTTGTGCTACCAACTGCCAACAGACTTCTCTAGTCTGCCCTGTGACTTGCAAATTGGCTGTGCCAAGATTGTACTGATGTAATTTTTTAAAACAAGTGCTTGGAAAGCTTCCCATTCATTTTGTTGTTTTGCTTCCTAAGGTTTGTATTTATGTATTTAAAAAATATAAAGTGAAGATTTTAAAAAATGCAAGGCAATAGTCTTGTGGACAGAATCAGCTGCAAAACTATTTTTATTGGAAAGTTTGCATCAGGATGATTCTGAAGCACGAGGAAGGAAGGAGGGAGGAGACCAATGACCTGTGTTGCCTATGAACATTTCCGTGTATATAGATTCACCTCTTACTAGGTGCAGTGATCATTCTTGCAGTTACTCACTGTTCTTGGCTGTCTGTTGGTACAGATCCATTTGTACTTTGGAGAAATCCAGCGGGAGCAGCCTTTTGCTACCTAGTTGTGGGTCTGTTAAATATATAGGAAGTTGATCTGAGAGAATTGCAACTCCAAATTTTGACTGCTGCTTGCATCAAGATCTGTAGCAGTGTTTCTCAACCTTAGCCACTTTAAGTCGTGTGGACTTCAACTCCCAGAATTCCCCAGCCAGCATAGCTAACTTTAAGATGTGTAGACTTCAATTCCCAGGATTCCCTAGCCAGCTATGCTATGCTGGGGATTCTGGGAGTTGAAGTCTACACATCTTGTCGCTAAGGTTGAGAAAGTGATCTGTGGGGTGCTTGCGCCCTCTAGGGGAGTTCCTATGCCATTACAGGGAGCAAACCGACCACCTTTTTTTCTCTCTTTTTTATTTTAGGCAGTGGAAATACTGTTGCTATTGACTTGATCGTCCAGCATGTGCACAGCCAGCTGGAGGAGGTAAGGCCTGATGGGTGTTCAGGGAAGCCCATGCATTGGGTGGTATCAGTTGGGTAGGACGCTCAGCTTCCATGCAGGTTTTCTTCTTTGCTCCAAGGGCATCCGTTGGTGCTAGCAACACTGCAGCCAGCATCAGTCCCCTTCCAAAAAAAATGTTCTTTGCCACAAAGTTTGCAGGACAGGGTTCTGGATCGGGGTCCATAGCTTATCCAAAGCTCCCCAGATTGGTTGAACAAACCTGTATCTAATCCTCTATCGAAGTTTTTAGAGGAGTAAAATTGCCCTAAACTGTTACCGGGGACAGCTGCTTGGGGCCACACCATTCCAGAGCAAATTGGAGAAATGTTGTTGGAAAATACTCCTGTTCAACCCGAGAACCCGAGAGGAGGAAAGGTGGGCGGGAGGAGGAGGAGGAAGACGACTAGCTATGTGTTTGCCCCTTCTGAGACCCATCAAAATCTATTTAAAAAAGAATTTGGGGAGCTCCCAAAATAGAAAAAATAGTTGCTCGAGTTGCATTAATCTCCAGGGGTCACTTGCAGACTAATAGCATGGTTTAATTTGGCATGGGGTGGGTGGGAACAGGGTTGTGTTGACTGCCACCCCTGCATTGTGTCGTCCAGGTTTGCTCAGGAGATCACTGGGCTAGGCTGGCCCGTGGGGGGCATCAGACCCTCATTTGAGGCATGGCACAAGCAGCTCCAGCTGGGCCCTCGAAAACCTCTTTTGAAAGGCAGGCGTTCGAAACCAAACGTTCACAAAGTCATTGCCTAAACCTGCTCTGAGCAAAACTGAAACTGTGAATGCTTTAAGGAAGAAAAACACTAGGACAGTGTTGTCCAAACTTGGCCACTTTAAGATGAGTGGACTTCAACTCCCAGAATTCCCCAGCCAGC